ACTGATGACTTGAAAGGTAAGAGTAATGAAAAATGTCTCCTTATATATATTAACTAAGAAGTTTCTAGAATAGTCTTCCATTTACTACAGTAATCATAATCTAGCAACTTCAGCCGTTTTGAATAAAAAATCATATTTCAGCGTCTATAATAATACATGACCGTGTATTTTAATTTATGGTCACAGGTATTGTAAATAAGCTTTGTCAAAAATTAGGAACTTTTCAAGAGGATGAAATATTTTACTTAGAAGTTTTTTTTATGGCCCAAGCACTTTGAAGAACTGTTCTATTTTATAATTATTTTGTTGATAAAAAAAATTATTCTAAAATCATTGATTCGGAAATTTGCAACTTGTAATTGGAAATATAATTTGACCCACAGAGATTCAGTAATAAATACAAAAATTGATTAAATCGTTTTGTATATATGTTAACCTTATTTCCTCCATAGTGGAAATGTAAATTTTCAAAACAAAGGGACGTAACTTGGTAATCTGAATCAGAACCGCAATACGGACTTTACCGAGAATATAACTGTACATAGCGCCACCTGTTAACATAATTTGGGTGTCACACATTATTACACCAGATGTCACGTCGTATTATGCTTGCTGCATTCGGCTTTCGGCTATGAGTCATTCTACCTTATGACATTCGTCATTCAAGCTGAGTAAATAGACCCAAATATAAACAGTTGCAGGTCGAGTTATTGAATTAATATACCAGATCAACAAATGAATAATTATTGATAGTTAAATAACGATATCAACATACATTTACGCAAGACGCACACAGCGAAAGCATAATGTGCATGTAAGAAAGCAAGATGTAAAAGAAAGAATGCAAGATGTACAAGTAAGAAAGCACGATGTACAAGTTAGAAAGCACGATGTAACGTAAGAAAGCAAGATGTAATTTTGGCATAAATAACCATCCATAGCTTATGCCTGACCAGATACTAGGATAGGGGCACCTATGTTTGTTGCAGACACATGTTCACCGCTCCTTTGAATGTTCCCACAGTTAAATAAATCGGAATAAATGAAATCGTTTGAAAATATACACATAGTCAGTGATTGTCTGTCTAGGTGTACAACTCTTGTACCAGACCGAACCGGCGATATTGTTTCCGGAAAGCCACTTTATTAAGAAACAGAAAGCAAAAATATTATGGAACAATAACAAGATTATAAGGTATATACTGCATGAGGCTGGTATGAATGCTAGAAGTCAAGCAAAAAAGGAGACGAAATAATCTATTTTATGACATAAAAGAAAAATGTCTTCATAAATGAGACATTGTTCATAAAAATGATATTTTATTTTTGCATATTTTCCAGGCATCTCATAACATTTTAACTTGTAGATACACAAAACGATTTATTTGTACTTTTTTCTAGCTTCATTGTTCACATCATATTTATATGAGTAATCCAAGAATGATCACTACTAAATTGGACAAAATGTACTATTACCAATAAAGTGTAGTTAAATTATTTATAATAAAATCATTAAAGATCTGAATTCCTTGTCAAAATGATAAGAATCATTTTAATTTAATTGTTTTTTATATCAAAGTTTAAAGTAAAATACATGCATAAGTAAGAGAAATATTTAAAAATAGATTTTAAGTCTCTATATTTTTTAGCATCCAACAATTATAATTTCATCCTCTGAAAATAGCCACCATAGAGCGATTATTACTTTTGAATTGTCTATGTAAGGTTAAATTAACGAGTAAGATTTAATTTACAAGTAAGGTTTAATTTCACCTTAATTTAGTACTTTATTGATTCATTATTGTTGTATATTGTAAACATATGTTTCATCTTAATAATATCTTATACTGTAATGCGCATGTCCATTATCTTCCCGCCACTTATATACTTGGGATATTCAGTTATCATTAAACGATAGAACTAGTAACACGTGTCTGTGTTATATATATTACAAGTGCACGCTCTGTGTACATATTAATAAATATACCCATAATACAACATGGTGTCAGAAGTTAACGGATTATAATTTTACAGTAAAACGCTTTATAATTGTATGTTTATAACGGAGTTATAAGAAATATGGAAAATAATCATCAACAAAATCCGCGTATGGACCGGGATTCGAAGGACTTAAACAGTGCGTTTAAGAGATTCAAAGAACATTCAGAATTCATGTTTAAAGGGCCGTTGGCAAGTAAAACGGAAGAAATTCAATGTAACTATTTGATGTTATGGGTCGGTGAAAAGGGCCGACAAATATACTAAACATGGGACTTATCAAACGATCAGAGAAAGAAACTTAAATCATATTATGATAAATTCGAAGAATATTGCAAACCAAAAGTAACATTATATACAACAAATATCTTTTTAAATCAAGAGCACAACGGGAAAACGAACCGTTTGAACAATTCGTTACAGAACTGAAAACGCTAATCAAAGATTGTGATTATCCTGTGGGCATGCAGCAAGATCTTATTCGCGACCATATTGTTTTTGGAGTAAGATCTAGCAAAGTCAGAGAAAAACTGATTGTGGAAGGCTCAGATCTAACACTTGAAAAATGCGTAGATGTTGCTCATACGTACGAATTGAGTCAGTCTCAGGCACAAGCAATCGCTAGCGGATCTACGACATCTCAACAGTCTGTTGATGCGATAAATCGACATTGGAGACGCGAGGCAACAGAAGAGATGCACACCAGAGAGACCGGAAGATGCCACCTCATCAGCAACAACAACCACGACGACAACAACGATTTGAAGATTATAGAAAAAAATGTGACAGATGTGGAAATAAACATTTCAATTCTAGTGAATGTCCAGCACAGGGACAAACATGTTTCAAATGTGGACGATTAAATCATTTTTTCAAAACAATGTAAATTTAAATCTGTGCACGAGTTACATTATGAAGGTGACACTGTGGATTACGTGTGTGAATCTGACGGCGAGAATGGCCAAGAATTCTTTGTTCACACGGTAAATTCTTTTTTCATCTTCTCCTGATCAAGTTTTTGTAAATGTTTTGATTGGCACACAAGATAAATTTACCAATATTTATTGCAAAATTGATACAGGTTCACAAATAAATTGCCTCCCAAATCACATATTTAGGCAACTGAAAATAAAACACCCTTTGGAAGCCTCCAAGGCAAGGTTAACTTCGTACACAGGTGACCGATTACCAGTGCTTGGAAAATTATGGTTACACTGTAAATACAATAACAAATCAGTGTGTTCCGAATTTTATGTAGTTGAGAGTTCTGCTACCCCGCTGTTAAGCCTCAAAACATCTATAGATTTAGATCTGTTAAGATTAACGTATTCGGTCAATAAGATTGAGTCTATTGACGCATCTGACCTTAGTAAGGACACTGTACTTAGAGAGTACAAAGAATTGTTTCATGGGATAGGGTTATTTCCTGGAACATGTTCATTGCATTTGAAGGAAAATGCTGTACCAGTTGTTTGTCCACCTAGAAAAGTACCATTTGGACTCAGAGATAATCTTAAAAAAGAGCTCGACTCAATGGAGTCAAAACAAATTATTTGTAAGGTTACAGAACCTACAAACTGGGTTAATTCACGAGTATGTGTTGAAAAACCTTCAACCGGTAAGCTTAGAATCTGTCTTGACCCCAAAGCATTGAATGAAAATATACAAAGGCCGTATTATCCATTACGTACTATTGACGACATTACGTCAAAATTGCATGGCGCTAAATACTTCAGTGTATTAGACGCGACCAAAGGTTACTGGTCAATTAAATTAGACGACCACTCATCGTCACTAACGACATTTAACACGGTATTTGGACGGTACAAATATTTAAGACTTCCTATGGGCATAAGAAGTTCTCAAGACATATTCCAACGGAAAATTGACGAGACATTTGAAGGTTTACAGGGTGTGACGTCAATAATTGACGACTTATTAGTGTTTGGAAGCACACGCACAGAACATGATAGAAACCTTAAGAACGTACTCGACCGAGCAAAGGCAGCCGGTTTACGATTTAACCCTGACAAACTGAAAATAGGTCTAACGGAGGTTAAATATTTCGGTCACGTGATCAGTGCTGATGGACTGAAACCTGACCCTGAGAAAATTAGCGAAGTTATCGAAATGAAAAATCCTGCAAATCGTGCTGACCTTGAAACCCTGCCGGGTATGATTACATACTTGACAAAATTCTCACAAAATCTCTCGGAGATAACTAGCCCGATGCGAGAGTTATTACGCAATGACGTAGAGTTCAGATGGGATTCAGCCCAATCTGACACTTTTGACAAGGTTAAACAAGTGATTACACAAGCACCTGTCCTCAGTTACTATGATTCATCGAAGCCTGTTAGATTACAATTGGATGCTTCGTCCAAAGGTCTTGGTGTTTGTTGCTTACAAAATGGTAAACCAATTGCATACGCTTCAAAAACACTGACATTGACCGAGACAGGATACGCACAAATAGAAAAAGAGATGCTGGCAATATTATTTGGATGCACTAGATTTAAGCATTCTATTTACGGACGGCGCACGGTTATCGAATCTGACTGTAAACCGATAGTATCTATTATGAGAAAACCACTTTATAGTGCCCCGCCTAGGTTACAACGGATGTTATTACAACTTCAAGATTTTGACCTCGATGTTATTCACTGTAGAGGTAAAGATATTCCGCTTGGAGATGCTCTCAGCCGGAATTACGTAACTGACACTTTTCCTAATCTGATTGACGGCTTAGAAACACATGTACACACTGTACTGAAATCACTACCGATAAGTGATTTAAAATTGCAGGAAATTCAAACAGCAACGCAAAATGATGCTCAGTTACAAACGCTTATTAGTGTCATTTCTAACGGATGGCCTGAGGACAGACGAAATTGCCCTACGACTGTATCAGAATACTGGAATCATAGAGACGAATTGGCTTTTGAAGACAATATTGTGTTCAAGGGTCAAAAATTGTAATACCAAAATCATTAAGACAGGACATGACTAACGCAGTACATGTGGGTCATTTTGGTGTAGAAAAGACGACAAGACTGGCTAGGGATATAATGTTTTGGCCATCAATGTCAAAACAAATTACAGATTATGTACTTAAGTGCCAGATTTGTTGTAAATATAGAGACTCAAATAAAAAGGAACCATTACATCCTCATGATATACCCCAAAGACCATGGCAATATTTATCATGTGATTTATTTACGTGGAATGGTCAAGATTTTATGGTTCTTGTTGACGCTTACAGTCGATATTTTGAGTTCGACCTATTGACTAGCACTTCTAGTACTTGTATTTTAAGAAAACTTAAGGTACATCTCAGCAGGTTTGGTATCTGTGAGAAGTTAAAAACTGACAATGGGACATGCTTTACTAGCGAACAATTTCAGAACTTCCTTAAACAATGGAACATTAAACACGAAACTTCAAGTCCCACGCATGCAAGTTCAAATGGACTTAGTGAAATATATGTTAAAATTGCAAAACGCATTCTTCAGAAAGCTAAGGATGATAATAAAGATCCTGATTTGCCCCTTTTAGAATATAGGAATACACCACTTAAATGTGGATGGTCACCCGCTCAACTTTTAAAGGGCAGACGCCTCAAGTCGCTTCTCCCAACAACTAACAATCAGCTTCTGCCACAAAAAGTAAATCATTGTGAAGCAAGAAAGAAAATGGAAGAATTACAATTTATTAGCAAGAATCATTACGATAAAACTGCGCACAAAATGAGACCTCTAAAAATCGGAGAATCTGTCAGAATTCGAAAAGATAAGAACTGGGAACCAGCCAAGGTTATAACCCAGCATAATGAACACTCATTTCACGTGCAGACCCCTGACAGTGCTGTTTATCGTAGAAATCGCCGTTTCCTAAACAAAGCTCCTGAACTATCTGACCTGTCAAAACAAACACAGCAACCATCTAAAGTCGATGAACACCAGGAATCTATTTTAAGTGAACAAACAAGTCAAAATACCCCTACAGAGTCCCCACTATCTCTTGCAAATGTGCCAGGTAAATCGAAACCATTCGCAATCACTAGGTCAGGTAGAGAGGTGAAACCGAATAAGCTTTACTGTGGAAAAGACTGGACAAAGTGATAACAATTGTTAAATTGTTGAAATAGCCATTAGTAAAACTGTAAATCAGTGACATTTAGAAAGGATTAAATTTTTTGCTTGTATATATTAATAATACATGTATATTTCAATGTCATTATTAAAAGATCATCAATTATATTTGATGTACTTATTATAAATAATTGTTTTTTTACAGATTAATTTGAAGTATACTAAATGTGCTTATATTTTTAAACAAGGGGAATGTTGTATATTGTAAACATATGTTTCATCTTAATAATATCTAATACTGTAATGCGCATGTCCATTATCTTCCCGCCACTTATATACTTGGGATATTCAGTTATCATTAAACGATAGAACTAGTAACACGTGTCTGTGTTATATATATTACAAGTGCACGCTCTTTGTACATATTAATAAATATACCCATAATACAACAATTATTTAGTATCATTCAACCTGTCAAATTAAGGTGTGAAGCATTGGAAATTCTAACTTTCGTTTTCGTATTGTACAATTTCAATGTAAGGTTAATATATATATAACTTCATTTCCATTTTATATTTGAATTTATAATCCTTTATAAATAGTTATATCACTTATAAAATTTATGCTTTATAAAAAAAATGTAAATTCCGTGTTTTGCGGGGATTTATATCGAAGTATTAATTGTTGTTTATTTATCGTGAATACATATTTTTTTAATGAATTGTATTAAAATACCAGAACTTTTTATGAATTAATGAATTTCTGTGTTATTTTAGAATGTCGACCATACCAGATTACGCTCACAATTTGTCACTTCTAATGTCTCAAGTGATGGATATGATTGGTGTAAACGAGAAGATAGTGATGAAAAGAAGAAGATCAATGCTACTGAATGAATCACTATTTACGATAACTCGACATCTACTCGGTAGGGAAGGGAATGCGTTCATCTTCGGTAGTCAAATAGAAGGTACAACAACTCTAGGATTACAGTCTGACACAGATTGTCTTATATCTATGAACAAATTTAATGTGATACAAGACTGGAGTGAATGGGAATATGGTAAACATAATTTGTTGATGATACAAGATGAGTATGTCTCACCAGGATATTGTTTGTTACAAATATTAAGAGATGATGCTCCACTACCACACGTAGATGAAGTTAATGACCATTCATATAGAGACAGAATGGGGAGAATATTGTTAAAAAATACATTCTTAAATAATTTTGGAAATAATGAATTTATAAGACACGGTCCAGCCCATTCACAACAAGATGTTCCTGGGGTCAGTGATAATGATTATGTTTTTGCCTTTCCCTGTCATTTAAGACCAATTCAAGCAGGGCATTGGTTAAATCAACATAGAGAAGAGCATTGGCCTACAAATGATATGATACAGTACTGTAGTAACACGCGATGTTTTGTTGTTGGCGTAGGAAAAACAGGAAGTGTAAATGAAATACTTGAATGGAGAACATCAACACCATTTGCAGAGAGATTTTTAATGTTTAATCTAAACATAACACAAATTCGATGTTTTGTTTTGATGAAAATGATTTTGAAAACATTTGTAACTCAAAGATTTCCTGACAGCATTTCAAGTTTCATGTGTAAAACCGTTTTGATACATTGTATTTCATATACAAGATCTGACGCATGGGAGGAAAATTCCCTCTTTACCTGTCTATCATTTTGTTTATCAACACTTTACAACTGTGCTCAAAATGAATATTGTCCCCATTTCTTCATCACACAAAATAATTTGATGAGCGGACGATATTCTCCGGAATTGAAACCGTTAATACTTGAAACTCTCCGTTATGTAATCGAAAGTAATGGAAGGGCATTGCTTCAAATTGAATGTGACAACTTTGGTTTATATCTTCAGCCAAGTTTATATGGTTTTCCACCAATAAATCCACATTTTATACCAACTATCATTGCTGGGCAAATACAAAAATATACTGCCTGTGATATAAGCTCACAATTTCTGTTAAGTTTAATGAACGATTTGTCACCAAGACTTGCGATGCAAAAACTTTTAACATTTATGTCATATCACCATATTGAGAATTACACAAACATAGATAGAAAAGCTTACCGTTTGATAGCACGATATTTATGTAGTACACTTGGATCTATTCTAGCATCTTTAAATATTTACCAACAAGACCATTTAACATACAAAAAGGCTCTTTCATTCCTGTCATTAGGACTTGACTCCGATGTAGCATCTGGTAAACTGAAACTAGCATCTGTTTTCTATTGTACCGGAGATATTGAGAGGACTGAAATTATCCTGAAAAATATTGAGGAGTGTTATGATCTAAGTGTTGTTGAACCAGTGTGTGGGTGTTACATTTTTAAAATGTCACCACGAAGAGATAAATTCAACAGATTATGTTATCAATCAAATGAAGAATGCACACTGCTTAAATATATAACAGCATCATGTGTCTATTTTATACGATGTGAAATAAACTGTTGTCCACTAGAACTTCAACATGAAATGTTTAGATCAACACAGGAAGATCTTGCTTACAGAAGTGAAAAAGATAAATGGATGAATATGGCTGTTGTAGATTCTCTCCCTTACCTCTACTTCTTGCAGTACAAGACATATTCCCGACTTGGAAGACAAGATGATAAACAGAGGGCTCTCAATAACATTGCCAGAACCATGGATGTTGAACCAAATCTCGGACATAGGGACACAGCACTCAATCTTCTCGGCCAATGTATGGAAGAAGAGAATAATCTAGAAAATGCTTTCAAATGTTATGCGCGTTCCCTTCAGATAAGAGGACGAAATAATTCGGCAAAAATCCATATTTGTAAGCTGTTACACAAATTGATCAATAATTAGTATTCACATACTTTGCAAGAAAAGAATATTGTATCATCATCAATCAAAAGGATAAAGTACTCTACATTTTGAAACAGTTTTTAGAAAATAAAATACATGTTGAAAGAAGGCTATGTTTTACTTTTAACTGTTTGTATGATACATGCTGGACTCTATAAATTGTGATTTTAAAATTTTATTTGAATTGCTTTGTGTATGAAAAAACTCCTCGAACTTGCAATCATTAGTACACATACAAAGGACACTCTCCTTTTTTAATCAAAGAATTTGGAGGATTTTTGTATGCTGTATACATGTTTGTTTATTTTTACATCAGATGATTGACCATAGTGAATGACACAATATATAAACGTATTGAGCGTAATGCGATACTACACAATACAATATATATAAGCGTATTGAGCATAATATGGAACTACACAAAACCACTTTAAACGCAGTTAATAGCTTGAAGTCCTTTTTATGTGTACATTCTATGTACGGTGGTTATATTAAGGTATAACACTGCTACATTTTAATTTTTGAAGTAAATCTAAGTTGTAAGCCTAAAAGAAAAACAAAGATTTGTTTAAAAAAAAAACTCCTTGTGAATAATTTGAAATGTTTTTCTCAATAATTGTGATTAGAATTGTGAAACTTGGTGTGAAACGATATGAGACGTGTCCTTGTTTTTGCCAAATAAAAGTAAACAAACAAACTGCGTCACTCTTTTTTTACTTTACCAAAGGTATGAGTGAATGCTATTTATTCCAGAAATGATACTTTAATCTTTTGAATTAAATTTTATTCGATAATTAACGAAACAAAATTTACGATATAGATTATAAAAATGCGTTTTTTTTTTGTTTGTTTATTTGTATATTTGTAAATAAACAGTTTTCTATTTTTTTATTTTATGAACCTGTCAATTCCATACTGATTACACAATCAATGCACACAATATGTTCATATTTGATAAACGTTCGGCAAATTCCGTGAGATGTACGAAGTGAGAAATGATTGAATTTAATTTGTTTCTATGATATAGTTACGCTGACTGTTATAGTGTATGGATTTATAATTTCTAAATGCCTTACGTGTTGTAAGATCGAGACCGCGTATGTCAAGTTTTTTTTCCTTATTTATAACTATTTTCAATATTTTTGAAGCTATGGTTTTCTTTTTGTTTTTGATATGTTTTGCACTTATTTTGTAAATATTATCCTTTTTTAAATAACATTGTTTAAGAGTAAATATGCCAAATTTTAATTTAACTTTCTGATTAAAATCAATACATGTCATTTTAGTGCCGTAAATCACAATACAAAACGAGACAATTCCGTGCTAGAAGTTGTTTCATATCCGTGTGGATAATTTTGCAAGTGTTTGGCCATACAAATAAAGAAAGAATATGATTTTAAACAATGGCAAAGGACGAACCACAGACCTCTCGTATACTGGGTAATCACTTAACCGACTGTGCTATTGCAGATGCTATGAATACCTATACATTAAGCTATTGTGACTTTTCCAAACGTTAGTTAATACTACATATTAAATCCGTACACTATACGGACAGAACCGAAGTGGAATCGAATATTAAAATGAGCGTTATAATGTATTCATTATTGACAGGTCAATAACATCAGACTATAAAATGTATTAAAGTATTTCGCTATTCTTTGCTAATATTTATGGAACGATAAAAATGTCACATATTGATTAATAATCATGTTGCATAACAAGACTGGTAAATGTCAATACATATAACTTATTTAATCTCCATTTTCTCCCTCACAATCACATTTTTTCGCAGCTTCGTGGCGTCATTAAATGTTTCAATAGTTGTTTTAGTTTATATAACAAATAAATTTAAATCATCGAAAGTATCAATTATCTACGGGTATTTTAACACCGACATAATTCATAATTTCTAATTTATACATTTGAATGTTTATGAAGATATGTAGCCGTGTACATGGGCTTGTTGTACATTTTACAATAAATTTATAAAATATGCCTGTATGATAAAGGGAAAGTAATGGTATTTAAAAAACGAAAACGTTGCCTCCCTTTTAAATCATTTTTATTTCCTGATTTAAGGAAAATTTTCTACTTTTGGTTTCGTTTTTCATTTGTTGATGATCTACTTCGAATTAAGGAATAAGATAAAAGCATTATTCTTATTTTTCTTCAAATAACATGAGGCATAAATCTTAATTGAAAATATTTCACACAAAATACGTATACAGGTTTTATGATTTCTTCTTATTTATAGTTTTCTTAACTGTATTAAAAGTTTTTGAATTCGTGGAACAATGAAAATACTGCATTCATAAGCCATTATATGCGTATTTTCGGTTAAATTGTATCCTTAATGTTTCTATATGTCAAACAAAATACGAGAATTAAAATCTATTTATTTATATTGTTATAAGTTTTTAATTTATTTATTTAATTATTTTTTATTTTAATAGCTAACGAATATTGTACGTGTCATAAAATTAAAATATGTTAATCTTAAACACAAACCAATGATCGATACGATTGTTTTGTGTATTAAATCAAAAGGTGAACTATGTAGTACAATAAGATATTTGAAACGAGCGATTCAGTCGTTCAATAATTTAAGTATTTAAACCCATTTAACTACAAGTAAAAGATAGCTAGTCCGATGTAATGATATTTTATTTTATAAATGTTAGCACGCAACTATGATGTATCTTCAATGCAGATTTAAGTACCACTATTATTAAGCCTTTTGTCTATAGTTGTTATCAATAACATACTGATTTGTTTCAGTTCTTTCTTGTATGAATTATAAACAAATATGATTTTAACAATTGGTTAAATAAACACTTCAGGTCATGGGAGGACGCTACTTCAGTTAATTTAATCTATTAGACTGACAAAACATCGTAATATTAGACACTGTAGAATATAATTTATGGTTAACAGGTTTAATCTGATTGGGTATTTAACAGTTAAAAGTTGTGACTACAAAACATCATTTTAGTTGTAAAAAATAACAATAAACTTGAAAGAATTGAGTAGCAATAAAGTTATGTATTTCAAATATATCAAATATCATATGTGATATGTCATAAAAGCGGGAATATTTGGTCAAGGTAAACAAAAACAAGGTAATTATTTTATATGTAAGTCATTTTTGAACGGAACGGAATTAAAATTACAATTAAGAATTCGCGATATAAATAAGTATATTTATCTATTTCATAATAAAGTGTTGTTTTAAGTTAATATTTATTTTTCTTCCATATTGATGGTATAATAAATTATTTAGATATCAATATTTCTGAAAAATAGCCATTCTAATACCTCAAGATGGACAACTGTCGACGGCATATCAAATGAATCCACTTTATTTATTTCACAAAGCAAACTTAAAAATAAATGTAAAAACAAAAACATTTATGATGTATGTATACACATATATAAAACAGAATATTGCTTAAAAATGCAATGAAGTTACTGATCTGTACATGCATGACGACAGGTGAAGCACGTGGACTTCGTGGACCTCAAAAATAAAGAATATGACGACATTTATATGGGTGTATATTTCTGAATTTCCTTGCTCTTTTGTAGCATTTTTATTTTATCGTAGAGTAAAAATCATGAATCAAAATCTTAGAAGGCGGCTTATTCCTGAATTATAGATGAATGAGGGAGGGGATAGAAATGTTGCAGACAGGCATGTCTCAGAGACTGGTTGTCCGCACATTGAATGCTTCCTATAGTGTTTTAAAATAAATGTGGAAACAATTTCCAAATTGAAGGAAGTATAACACATATACACAGTGATGATTGTTCTAGGTGCACAATGTTTGCACATGACCGATATATTGTTGATTACGTCCGGTGGTATTGTTTATGTTTAGCAACTTCATAACGAAACAGATAGCAGAAGGCAAAAATTTAAGTCAACAATATCACAATAAGGGATAGATTTAATAATGCTGGTATAAATGCTAGAGGTCCTGACAAAAAAGAAACAAATAAGCTGCTTTGTGAAATACAAGAAAAAATATCATGAAAATGAAACATTGGTCATAGACAAGCTATTTAATTGTTACATGTTTTTTTCATGCATCTCAAGAATGAATGACCACTGAATATAAAAATGCAGCAATAAAGTGTAGTAAAATTATTTATAATTAAAGCCTTATAGGTTTGACATGCTTGTCAAAATGATAAGATAGAGAAAATAAGAATCCCTTAAAAAAGCACAACACGGCAAAATTGAAAATGTTGCAGCCTAGGTTTGATTGAGCCTGTTCATGGACGGTACTGCCAAGTGCAAACTGCCGTCCTAGCCCACCTAGCACCGGCTAAAGTAGAATTCAGCATCTAACACGACAAAATTGAAAATGATGCAGGCTCGGTTTGATTGAGTCTGTTCATGGAGTCATTCTTATATTTGATAATCTGGTTTCTGTGACCAAAGTTAAAATAAAATACACCTTTTAATAATTAATAATAAATAAAATATATGTCTATATATGTTTAAGAGATATGATTGTAATCACTAAATATATCACTTAGTGTCCAACAAGTATAGTTTGATCTTCCACTAGAGGACGATTATTACTTTCAAATGTTCTATGAAAGATTGTAAGATAAGAATCAATTTACAAGTACTGTTTAATTCAGCTCCAAGAAGAATTAATATTTAGTACCTTTTTAGATTGAAATAATGCCCTTAGTTGATTTGTTAAGTCCCTGATTAAATTTAAACATACGATGGGTTATCCAAAAATTCGTTGACTTTTTAAATATCTTTTGAACATCCACGTGTATTGTCATGAAATTGTATCAGCATACAGTGTAGAATATAATTAATACGTTTTGATACGAACATTTAAGTGCGTCAAAAAATAATGGTTTCATATTGCTTTTAAATAAACACATACACGGCACCCGGCGCTCGGTAGAAAAGCGCAGTTAGTCATCGTATATTTTTTGCTAAAAAACTACTTACTAACTTAGAAAACCCGCTAAACATCGCATATGTCTTCTGTGATGTCATTTAAGTAATTCTCTAAAATTATGGACGTCATTTCCGTTAATTTTTGTTGAAATCGCCAGAAACGCCGGACGACGAAATTGTTTACACCGGGAAAATGACGGAAATGCAGAAATAAGAAAATAGCGTGATCATAAAGTTTTGTTGTAATATGGGAATGACACTAACAAAAAAAATTGAAAAAGTAAAAAAAAGAAACAGCAGGCGAACAGAGAAAATAAAATTTTACTATCATTAGTGCTTAAGTGTCATCAAATTTAGTGACAAAACATTACTTCGTGAAGCAGTAATTGTTATTGAGTGTGTAACGTCGAAGCAGAAGTTGTACGTTAAATATTATGACATTAACGTCAATAACTGTTTGGAGTGCGCCGCACTCTCTGACATGTGTTAATGTAAAATTAAATATTGTTGTAATATAAGGAGCTACTAACATGCATTTTTCTGTGTTTATTTGTTATTTATTCTTCTAAGCAGAGTAAGAATTTCAAATCAATATCTCAAATACATTTTACGCAACAAAGAAAGTCCATGAATTTTTGGATAACCCCTCGTATTTATAACGTGTTTGAAGGCGTCACTTCCGTGTTGTACTGGGAAAATTTCGCTCGATTTGTATCAAGATATAAAAAGTGTAAAATAAAACAACTACTTTTCTGGTGTTATGAAGAATTGTATTAGGGAAAACAGAACATTTTATAAATTATATGAATTTCTATTTTTTCTAAGAATGTCGAGGATACCAGACTACTCTCCTAATTTATCACTTAAAATGTCTCAAGTGATGCATGGACTTGGTGTAAATGAGAAGATAGTGATGAAAAGAAGAAGATCATGGCTACTGAATGAATCAATATTAACGTTAATTCAACAACTTCTCGGTCATGATAGAAATGGGTTCTTCTTTGGTAGTCAAATAGAAGGTACAACAACTCTTGGATTACGGTCTGACACGGATTTTCTTGAATCTTTAAACAATATTAATGTGATACCAGACTTGAATGAATGGGAATATTGTAAACATAATTTGTTGATGATACAAGATATTAATGTCTCACCAGGATATTGTTTGTTACAAATATTACAAGATGATGCTCCACTACCACAAGAAGTCAAAGTTAATGACCATTCCTACAGAGACAGAATGGGGAGAATATTGTTAAAAAATACATATTCTTATGGATTGGGAAATAGTGAATTAATAATTAGGAACGGCCCGGCTCATTCTGTACAAGATGTCCCTGGGGCCAAAGATAGTGATTTAGTTATTGCCTTTCCTTGTAAATTAAGACCAGTTCAAGCAGCGCATTGGTTAAATCAACATAGAGAAGAGCATTGGCCTACAAATGATATGATACAGTACTGTAGTAACACGAAATGTTTTGTTGTAGGCGTTGGTAAAACAGGAAGTGTAAATGAAGCATTTGAATGGAGAATATCTACATCATTTGCAGAGAGATGTTTAATGTTTAATCTTAACATAACACAAATCAGGTGTTATGTTTTGATGAAAATGATTTTGAAAACATTTATAAATCAAAGATTTCCCGACAGCATTTCAAGTTTCATGTGTAAAACAGTTTTGTTACATTGCATTTCATGTACAAGATCTGGTGCATGGAACGAAAAAGCCCTCTTAACTTGTCTATCATTTTGTTTATCAACACTTTACAACTGTGTTCATCAAGAATACTGTCCTCATTTCTTCATCACACAAAATAACTTGATGGGTGGGCGATTTACACCGGAGACTAAGTCGTTAATACTTGAAACTCTTCGATATGTAATCGAAAGTAATGGAAGGGCATTGCTCGAAATTGAATGTGACTGCCTTGGCTTATGTCTTCAGTCAAATTTAAACGGTATTGAACATTTTGTACCACCTATAATTTCTGGGCAATTACTAAGAGAAACAGCCCTTCATATAAGTTCAGATTTCAAAGATATCTTATGTGAAATGAATCATTTATCACATCAACCCACGATGCAAAAAATTTTAACAATTATTTCAAATTACCATAATGACAATTTCACAAACATAGATAGAAAAGCTTACCGTTTGATAACATGGTATTTATGTAGTACACTTGGATCTGTTCTAGCATCTTTAAACATTAACCAACATGACCATTTTACATACAATAAGGCACTTGAATTCATGGCATTAGGATTTAACTCCGATGTAGCATCTGGTAAACTGAAACTTGCATCTTTCTTCTATTGTGACGGAGATATTGAGAGGACTGAAATGATCTTGAACAAAACTGAGGAATGTTATGATGTTAGTATCGTTGAACCAGTATGTGAGTGTTATAATTTCGAACAGGCAAAAAGAAGAGACAGATTTGACAGGAACTGTTTTGAATCAAATGAAGAATGCTCTCTGTTTAAATATATAATAGCATCATGTGTCCGGTTTATACGATGTGAAATAAACTGTTGTCCATTAGAACTTCAACATGAAATGTTTAGATCAACACAGGAAGACTTTGCTTACAGAAGTGAAGATGATGAATGGATGGACATGGCTGTTGTAGATTCTCTCCCTTACCTCTATTTCATGCAGTACAAGACATATTCCCGTCTAGGAAGACAAGATGATAAACAGAGGGCCCTCTCTAATATTGCTAGAACAATTGATGTTGAACCAAATCTCGGACATAGGGAAACAGCACTCAATCTTCTAGGACATTGTATGGAAGAAGAGAATAATGTAGAAAATGCATTGAAATGTTATGCGCGTTCCCTTCAGATTAGAGGGAGAAATAATTCGGCAAAAGTCCATATTTGTAAGCTGTTAAACAAATTGATCAATAACTTGTTGTAACTTATTTTAGAACAAGAATACCGCAAGGAAGATACTTCAAAATGCTTTCAGATGTCCTTTAATATACAAAGTTGACACAATTCTGCAAAGTGTCAAATATTTAGACTGTTAGCATCCGTTTATGATTAGAACCAAAACATATATGTTTAAGGGCATACACGGCTTACCTATATAACAACAGCGTAGGTATGGTTACGATAAACTATTCATAACAAAGCAAATGCTTTGATTGCCTAAAAAGGACTTTACCTTCAACAGGAAAGAAACCTTTTGGAAATACTTGACCATTGTAAAATAGTTCATTTATTTTTATGTTTTGCAAACAAGATATCTTGTAAGATATTAGGAATATATAACAATACACAGAGAAACAATAAACCTTTAAATAGACATGGAGGACAGATTAAAAAAGCACCGAATATTCATGTACAGTATATATTATGCATTGTCATTTTGATACTCGCAATGTTTGCCCAGTAATTATCTAGTATGAGTCACTTGTTATATAGTTTTGAACATTATAAGTTTAAATTGAAATTATCTATCAGTGTTTAATCTTGCAACACCAGAGTGTTTTGCTTATGGTGGGGTATTTTGCCAATTAACTGTCATCTCAAACACAATGTAATTTCAAGAGTGTCATGTGTCATATCAGATACGGTAACATTTTTAACCGTGTGAAAGTATAAACATAATACGTGTCTATTTAGATGAATAACAAAACGTTTCATTGTTGCATTTCGAATAATATTAGATGAATATTTTCACTTTATCAAGAAACTGGCATTGTAACGGATTTCTTACAAAAAATAGTTCAAAACGTTACACATAATAGATGATTACTAATATTATATTATAGTATTTTGTACGAACATGCTTTAGATTTTCACAATTTTATCAATTCATAACTTGTGGATGAAGGTGATCACTTAACAGTGTTGATTTTTCAGATACATCATAAAACTGAAAGTTACTTTTGCCCCAGTCAAAAATGATCCATTTTATTTATTTAATATATTATGTATGTATATTTTTCTCTGGATCTCTAATAAATATAATACATAAACTGCTGCATTTGTGTTTGTTTAATGGATTTGCCTTGCTTTAAATATTAAACAATTCATTTGAAACTAGATGAAATGCAAACATAATAGAGGTTGGTCATTCACCACGGATGTGCAGACTGGCCTGTCTTTACATTCGTGGCAAAAGCTGACCACTTTCGATTTCAGCAGGCTGGCTAAGCTCTATACTTGTGGTAGAGGCTGACAACTTTCGGTTTCAGCAGGCTGGCCAGACTCTATACTTGTGGTAGAGGCTGATCACTTTCGATTTCAGCAGACTGGTCAGGCTCTATACTTGTGGTAAAGGCTGACTATTTTCGGTTACAGTTTGCTTGCCTGGTTCTATACTTGTGGCAGAGGCTGATTACTTTCGGTTTCAGCAGGTTGACCTTACTCTACACTTGTGGTAGAGGGTGACCAATTTCAGTTTCAGCAGGCTGGTCAGGCTCTTTTATTGTGGTAAATGCTAACCACTTTCGAATTCAGCAGTCTGGCCTGGTTCTATACTTGTGGCAAAGGCTGACCACTTTCGGGTTCAGGGGGCTGACCTTGCTCCATACTTGTGGCAAAGGATGACTAATTTCGGTTTTAGCAGGCTGGCCAGGCCCTATACTTGTGCCAAAAATTGACAACTTTCGGTTTCAGCAGGCTGGGCTGGCTCGATACTAGCGGCAAAGGCTGACTACATACGGTTTCATCAGGCTGGCTTGGTTCTATACTTGTGACAAAGGCTGATCACTTTCGATTTCAGTAGACTGGCCAGGTTCTATTCTTGTAGGAGAGGCTGACCACTTTCGGTTTCAGCAGGCTGGCAAGGCTCTATACTTGTGGTAAAGGATGACCACTTTCGGTATCAGCAGGCTGGCCAGGCTCTATACTTGTAGCAGAAGCTGACCACTTTCGATTTTAGCGGGTTTGTCAGGCCTTATAATTGTGGTATAGGCTGACCACTTTTGGTTTCAGCAGGCTGGCCTGGCTCTATACTTGTGGTTAAGGCTGACAACTTTCCGTTTTAGCAGTTTGGCCATATCTATTCTTGTAGCAGAGGCTGACAACTTTCGGTTTCAGCAGGCTCGTCAGGCTTTGAAATTGTGGTAAAGGCTGACCACTTTCGGTTTCAGCAGGCTGGCCAGGCTCTTTACTTGTGGCAGAGGCTGACCACTTTCGGTTTCAGCAGGCTGGTCAGGCTTTTGATTGTGATAAAGGCTGACGACTTTCCATTTCAGTAGGCTGGCTAGATTCTATACTTGTGGCAGAGGCTGAGCACTTTCGGTATCAGCAAGCTGACCAGGCTTTATACTTGTGGTAACGGCTGACCTCTTTCAGTTTCAGCAGGTTGGCCAGGCTCTCTACTTGTGGCAAAGGCTGACAACTTTTGGTTTCAGCAGATTGACCTGGTTCTTTAACAGTTGCAAAGAATGACCAATTCCCATCTCTTATTTAAACAGGCTGACTTGGCTCTTTACTGGTGGTAAAGGCTGATAACCTTCGTTTTCAGCAGGCTGGTCAGGCCTTATACTTGTTGCAGAGGGTGACCACTTTCGGCTTCAGCAGGCTGGCCAGGCTCCATATTAGTGGCAAAGGCTGACTCCTTTCGGTTTCAGCAGACTGACCTGGGTCCATTCTAATGGCAAAGGCTGACTACCTTCGGTTTCAGCAGGCTGGCCTGGCTCCATAGTAGTGGCAAAGGATACCTATCTTTGGTTTCAGCAGGTTGGCTGGCCCCATATAAATGGGAAAGGCTGGACTATCTTGTTTAGCAGCAGGCTGGCCTGGTCCTACTTGGGAAAGATATTATTTTGGTTTCAGCAGGCTGGCCAGGCTTTTATACTTGTGGCAAAATTGACTACTTTCGGTTTCGGCAGGCTCCCCGGTCGATATAGAGGGAAAGGGTGACTACTTTCGGTTTCAGCAAAGGGTGCCCGGCTCCTTTCTAGGGAGCAAAGGGTGACACTTTTCAGTGGATCAGGCTGGCCTGGTTCTATACTTGTGGCAATGGCTGACCATTTTCGATTTCAGTAGCTAGGCTGGCCAGGCTCTATACATGTTGCAGAGGCTGACCACTTTCGGTTTCAGCACGCTGGCAAGGCTCTATACTTGTGGTCAAGGATGACCACGTTCGGTTTCAGCAGGCTGGCCACTCTCTAAACTTGTAGCAGAGGCTGACCAATTTCGGTTTCAGCAGGCTGGTCAGGCCTTATATTTGTGGTACAGGCTGGCCCACTTTTGGTTTCAGCAGGGCTGGCCCAGGATCTATACTTGTGTAAAGCCGGCAACTTCGGTCTCAGCAGGCGGCCAGGCTCTTATATACTTGTAGGGCAGAGACTGGACCACTTTCGGTTTCAGCAGCCTGTCCTGTTCTATACTATTAGCAAAGGCAGACACTTTCAATTTCAGCAGACTGCCAGGCTCTAATTATACTTGTGGTAAAGGCCGCAACTTTCGGTTTCAGCAGGCGGCCAGGATCATATACTTGTGGTAAAAGGGCCGGCAACTTTCGGTCTCAGCAGGCTGGCCAGGCTCTATACTTGTTAGCAGAGACTGACCACTTTCAGGTTTCCAGCAGCCTGTCCTTGTTCTATACTTAGCAAAGGCAGACACTTTCAATTTCAGCAGACTGCCAGGCTCTAATATACTTGTGGCACGAGGCTGACCACTGTTGGTCTCAGCAGGCTGGTACAGGGGCTTTTTAATTGGGAAAAGGCTTATCCACTTTCGATTATAGTAGGCCTGGCAAGGTTCTATAAACTTGTGGCAGAGGTCATTCCTTATTCAAAGCAGAATGACTTGCTCCCTTTACTGGTGGTAAAGGCTGGATCACATTCGCTTTTCAGCAGGGCGGGTCAGACTTTTATACTTGTTGGGGCGTTGAGTGACCTTTTTTTTTTTTTCAGCATGGGCGGGGGGGTGGCTGGGGTTTTATACTTTTGGAGGACTTCGTTGTGCCTCAAAAATCAAGAAAATTTTGGCCGGATGCATTACGCACTTGTAACATGGTCAAATGATTGGGTTTTTTAAAATTTCAATTCAACTTTTGAAAGGCATTCAATATAAAATTAATCAAGACCTTAGAAGGCGGCTTTTGCCTGGGCCAGATGAATAGGGGGATACTGTAATTTATTTCAGAAGGCATTCTCAGAGGGAGGTTGTCAGCACCCTTGAATGTTTTTCCCCTGTTTAACAAAAAGGATTTTCAAAATAAAAAAAATTTTAGGGGAGATCTGGGACGTTTTGTTTACAACTCTTGGGATAATCCGATATATTTTCGATTTAGTTTCCAAATGATATTGGTTTTCCCGGGAAAACTACTTTTTTTACGAAAAAGCTTTTCAAAAAAAAAATGCAACCCCGAAAAACCCAAAACCCAAAAAGGGAAAATTATGATTTTGGGATGAATGCCCAGATGTCCTACAAATAAAAAAAACAAATTATTTTTTTTTGTAACATAAAAAGAAAATGTCATCAAACTCATCATAAATAAAATGTTTCATCATTGACGTGATATTATATTTTTACATATTTTCCAAGCATCTCATAACATTTTGCTTTGTAAACTACAGAATGATCTTTTAACTTTTTCTAGTTTCGTTGTCCATCATACTTATCTAAGTAATTTTATACAAGAATGATCACTGCCAAATTAAAAACAAAATATAATATTACGGGGTAACAATTAAGTGTACAGCTAGTAAAAAGTCTATTTATAATTAAAAGCTTTAAAGACATTTTGTCAAAATGATAAGTAACATTCCTTTTTTAATCCGGTTTCTCTGATAAAAAGTTCAAAATTAAATATATGTATAAGTAAGAAATAAAATACGTCTACATGGATATATGTATAAGGAATATTTTTGAAGCCTCTATATATATTTTAGCGTCAAACAATTATAATTGCCCATACTATAATTTACCCACCACAAAGCGATTTTCTTTTCAATTGTTCTGTGTAAGAATTCAATTTACAAATAAGGAAACAAGGATTTATAGAAGCACTTTGTTGATTTACTATTTAGTACCATTCAAAACCTGTCCAATTCAGGTGTGATGCATTGGAAATTCCAAACTTTTCGTTTTCGGTTTTGTACAATTTCAATTTAAGGTAAGTATATTAACTTATTTCCCGTTTTTTTATTTGAAATGTTGAGCCCTGATTTTTAAATAGTTTAAATCATTTATAAAAGTTGCAATTTATAAATATTTTGGGTTTAAATGTGTCACAATCCATGTTTTACAGGGATCCATTTCAAAGTATAAATTGTTTTTAATTTTTATCGTGCAAATCTAATCTATTGGTATTAAGAAATACAGAAAATTCTATAAAACAAATGGAAATTTCTGTTTTATTTTTAGGCATGCGAGATACCAGATTACGCTCACAATTACTTAAAAAATGTTTCAAGTGAGAGATGGGACTTGGTTTAACGAGAAGATAGTGATTTGAAAAGAAGAAGATCCCAGCTACTGAATGAAAATCACTAATGACGGGTTAACTCATCAGGCTACCGGTTGAAGATAAATAAATTTTTTCAAACTTTGGTAGTCAAATAGAACGTATACCAACAACTCTTCGGATTACAGTCTTGACGCAGATAGTCTTATACTCTATAAACAAATTTAATGTGATACAAGACTGGAGTGAATGGGAATATGGTAAGCACAATTTGTTGATGATACAAGGATGAAAATGTCTCTCCAGGATATTGTTTTTTACAAAAGTTTAAGAGATGAGTGCAGCCACTTACCGCTCCTAGTTGAAACTTGATAAATACATACCCAGGGAAGGGAATGGGGAGAATAATTGTTAAAAAATACAAAGTTTTTAATGTTTTACCTAAATTAGTACAAATGGCCCTGCTCATTCTTTTCAGATGTTCCTGGAGTCGAGGATAATGATATCGTTCCTCCTTTTCCATGTTAATAAGGACATTCCAGTTAGGCATTGTTAATTCAAATAGAGAAGAGCGTTTGGCCTCCAATTGATATATACATACTGCACAGCAACACCACGAATGTTTTCTGTTGGTGTTGGAAAAAACAGGGGAGTGTAAAGGGAAGCATTTGAATGGAGAATATCTTCATCATTTGCCAGTGAGGATTTTAATGTTTTTAATCTTAAATAACCACAAATTAGAAATTTTATGGGTGTTTGATGAAAATGATTTTG